GAATATAACTGTGGATTGTCATCGTGGCAACCACAATCTGCAATTGTTTGGAAACAGATATGTATGCATATCATGCAGTATGACACGCTTCTTATTCCAAACTCCAAATGCCTTTTCAATGACACCTCATAAGGATAAGTGTCTCTAGTTGAACATCATTTTTTTACCCCAAGTGGCATTGCTAGCTTTCTCAAAATCAGGAATGTGATATTTGGTATCATTAAAATATTTTAGATACCCTCTTTGTAATGATTATCCTACATCAACTAAATAATATTTCCCTAATGTAAAAATAGTCATTAGCATTGCATAAGATATTAGTATTTTATTTGTTAATATTCAACCTAACATGGAGATGGCTTTGGGAAGTTATAATTTTGACTTGTTGTAGCAAAATTAAAAATACAACTATCGTGTGCAGTGTCTTCCCATTCAAATATTACAAATGCGGAGCATATATTTAAATTACATACAATCATCACATTCTGTGTCGGTAATCCACATCATCCAATGTATGCAAGCTTTTTACTGTTAGGAACACGTGCATCCACTTGTGTACCATCAATTACTCCAACACAATCATAAAACACTTTTCTAATATATTAGAGACATTGTGTTCAAGTAAATTCAGAGAAATATGAACACATGAAACTATCTTAAAATATGACATAGAACGGTAGTATTGTGCAATCTGCACAGGTGTGCTTTGAAAGTGGAGTCTTTAGTGACGATAACTTTTGATGACAAACTATTCAGAGCCTTTAGCCCAATTAAGGAATATCTATTGATAGTTTTAGATGAGCGTCAATGTCGTTGCACGATGAATGCCGCCGAATATAATTGAGTGTCATCGTGAAAACCAAAATGTGCACTTGTTTGGGAAACATATATGTAAATTTATCATGCAATATGACCTACTTCTTTCAAACTCCAAATGTCTTTTCAATGGCATCTCGTAGGGAGGAGTGTCTTTTGTTGAACATCTCTTTCCTACCCGTGACATTGTTAGCCCTCTCAAAATCAGGAATGTGTTATTTGGTATCAGAAAAAGGTTTGAGATACCCTCTTTGTAATGAATACCCAGCATTAACCAAATAATATTTTCCTAATTTAAAACATAATCATTATTATTGCATAATATATTAGTATTTTATTTGTTAATATTTGAGATAACCTAGAGGTGGCTTCGTGAAGTTATACGTTTGATTTTTTATAGCAAAATTAAAAATACAACTGTCGTGTGTACTGTATTCCCATTCGACCATTACAAATGTGAAGCACATATTAAAATTACATACAACCATCACATTCTGTATTGACAATCCACATCATCCAATGTATGCAAACTTTTTGTTGTTGGGAACATGTGCATCAACTTGTGTACTATCAATCGCTCCAACACAATCCTAAACACTTACCCAATAGATCAGAGACATTATGTTCAAGTGAATTTAGAGAAATATTAACACATGAAACTACCTTAAAATATGACATATAAGAGTAGTTTTATGCAATCTACATAGGTGTGCTTTTGAAAGTGGATTCTTCCGGGACGATAACTTTTTATGACAAACTAATCAAAGCTTTTAGCCCAATCGAGAAATATCTGTTGATAGTTTCAGATAAGTGTTGGAAGCATTCCATGGCATCTCTCATGGACTCATTTTGTTATAAAATATAGAGATTTATAACTAACACCTCTCTTGAAGTCATCCTAGATGAGTCATGAGACCATGATGAATGTGCAATTCCTTCAACATATCAATGAAAAAAAGATGTGTAATTTAAAACATGTTGCTAAACATTGTGGGGTGACCCACAAACAACTTCTCAACCCACTTGTCGCCTATATACGTAGAAGTCACATATGAAAATCGATCAACACATGAGTTGTAATATCCAAACAGTAAACAAAATACACCTATGATGTTTCTCTTTCGTCTTTATCCATCAATGATATTCATCATTTATTCAGCCATCACATAAAAAAAAACACTGAATTAGATCAAAATGAATTGAACATAAAAATATAACATATAAATAGCACTCTGCTGCAAGAAATGATTTGAAGATGCCCGAATAAAAAAAAAACCCGAAATCCAAACAACATAAATCAGTCCATCAAATAATACGAAATTCACGCATCATGATTATCATAATAATATCGTAAGTGATTAATCTTACGGTCAGCTTTCGTTGACATGAATGGTTCTCTACTGTTCGGGTCTTCCAACAACTTGATGGAGAATAAATAAAACAACATGTCCTCATTAATTTATGGAGTATCTTCCAAAATTTTCATACCTTTCTCAATAAAAGTTTCATGTTACCCACTAGGCTCTCTGATGGATGAAGCCACCAATCAGGAGATCTGGCCTCTCATGAAAGCAGTACCTTCTTTTTTTTCTTTTTCACAATCCTGTAACATTTGGATCAACTAGTAGATCCTATTGCATGTAGGTTGTAGTTGGACCCCTCATTAGACCAGCAGGTTGCTCCACTTCTAAATGCTCAAATCAACCTCCATGCCATCTCTCGCTTGGTGTCCATATTTGCTCATATGTGGCCACCACTCCACCGAACATAAGATCAAATTTATCTTTAAGCACAGGGTCAATGCCACTGAATTTAATTTTTTTTGCAGTTGACACGGCCTACAAATCATTTACTAAATCTTTAGATTGATTAATGAAAATTTTGAAACTTTAAAATGATTTTACATTTCACACATTTTACATCAAATCTTTCGGTCTACCATTCTTCAGAAGCATCAATGGTTAGCTTTATAGGATCCCATCCCATGTCTGTGGATCCTCACTTTAGCTCTCTCAATATTTTAAATTTTTTTTTTTCAATCGATTACTTTTATTCTTAAATTGCATTCTATCGTACTCTCTCCTCATGTATTCTTTAAAATTTTTTATTATATTTTGTCTACTTTCCTTAATAAAGTAAGTAGTTGGCCTAGTTACAAACTTGACCACTTTGACACAGAGGTCACAGAATATTAATGTCATCTCTTTATCCCATGTAGCAGACGACCCGATTTGTTTTGCCTTGCCCATTACGACAACTGCCATGCAAAGAAATAAATAGCATAAATTCATGGAAGATAAAATAAGTTAGAAACGGAAACATTTGCAACACCACCACTACATCACAACCACTATCATCATATTTATCAACACATCACACTGCCTCATCACCAGCAATATCATCACCACCTCCACACCACCTACAACCAACATCGATATCACATCACCACCATATCACCACCAACACTACACCACCACCTCCACACCACACCATCAAGTTCAAACCAAAAAACCACCACCTCCATACTATCTACCACAAACATCAATAACACACCACACCACACACCCAACCTTCACACCACCTACCACCAACATCAATAGCACACCACATCACATCACTACCTCCACATCACTATCACCGCATGATCAAAATCACCCTTTCACACCAAACCAAACACCACTAAAATTATAGCACACCAACAACATGACACACCAAACACCACTAATAGCATAATCCTAAAAACCATCACAAAAATCACAGCACACCAACAACATAATCCTTAATTTCCCCATGCCAACAAACACAACACAGAGAAACAAAGCCATCCTCCAATTTCCACAAAGTTTCCAAAAAAATTTCCACATACAAAAAAAATCAGAGCACCATAATTTCCACATAGCAAGAAAAACCCTAAAATCAACATCACAACATATCCAAGCTCCAATCCATCAACTGAAAATATAGCACAGAGAAACCAAGTCATCACCGAGCACAAAGATACACAAATAATCACAAAATTGAAATGCCTTATATGTAAAGTATGCCTTGGGGTGACAGAGAGCGAATGATCCAAATGAAGCTGAAGAACAGAGGGGAGAGGGAGAGGAGAAGAAAGGCAGATTCACCCAACAACCACCGAAACTAAAGGGTCGGTTTGGAACCAACTCTAGCCTCCAAAGCCACAAAGGGGGGACCCGAAGAAGAGAGGCCAACCCTAGCCACCGAAGAGACAAAGAAAAGGGGAGAGGGAGAAGAATGGCCAACTCACCGCAACAACCACCACAACCAATAGTCAGCAAAATCAATCCTAGCGACCGGAGCCACACAAAAGAGAAAGGGGAATGCAAGAGTGGCATACGAGAGCACAGAGAGCCGCAGGGTAAAAAACAAAAAAATATCCCGAATAAACACAGGTCGTATGGTTGAACCTGCAGCCCACATTTATTTATCTTTTTCCAAAACTCAAGTATGTCGTGATTTTCAAATAGACGATTTTGTTGTTTCCCCACCGCACCATGCCTTTTATGATTTCGAAACAACTTTATAATACTATTTTATAAGACTTTATATAATTTAAACAATTTTTAGTAATATAGATTTGGAGACAACAAAAGTTAAACTTTTTTATAATACTTTTAGTAATATTTAAGTAAAGTTTTGCTTGAAACATGTCTAAATATAGGCCACCTAAAAAAGTAAAAACTTAACAAATTCGTGATAAAAATGCAATAGATTTAAAGGGAAATAAAAAAAAAAAGTTTAATTTGCGAAGAAGAACATAATTCATTAGTACATTTGAAAATTATGATTCATCTCATTGTCAGTCACTTATATCTATATCTATATAATATATATATATATATATATATATATATATATTAGATTTAAAAAGCATCAATTTTATTAAGTAAAACGAATCAACACTTCGACATGTGTATTGCTGAAATTTTTTATTCTACTAATTTAATAGAGGATTTATAGTTATAAGTGATATACTAACTAAAAAATTGATATACCAAGTGTATATATCAATTTTTTTGCATCTCATTATGTTTAATTCACACAGCTCTCTTTTATGTGTTGGTCAGCCTGCACTTATAAAAGATTCTTTATTAAAGTTACATTTGTCTATAATTCTCAATTCATTTTTCAAAAATTTTCTATCATAATCTGTGGAATTACAGGGTGGAAGCAACAGACTTGCAATGGGCGAGAGTAGAGGGCGTTTTTTCGTTGAATACAGTTGCTAAAAGCGTGCGCTTATACTTCAATGGACTTACTGAAGGAGTTGATTTGTTAATTCGACATGTATCCATTTCTCCTGTGTTTAAGAATTTTGTGGTATGTTTCTTTTTTCACATATAGATTGCAATTATTATTAACTAAATTTGTTGTATCGAGTCATGGTTTGAAGAAACACCCCCATCGATCGTTCTGAAGGTTGATGATCGTCCTAAGAGACTTCCTTTTGTCATCTTCTATCGATTGTTCGACTAAGGTGTTTTCTCCGTCGCTGCTCATTTGAAATAAGCTTCTATTGCTACATCCGATCGGTTGTATTTCCTTCTTGGGTCGCCCATCTACTTTGAGATTCTTGCGAACACATTTTCGTGTGTGCATATTTAGTTTCTCGTTTCTCTTACTCCTCGGAAATTGTCTAACACATGAGGACAAGAGAATTTTTTATCACGTATACATAAATGAATAAAATAATAAACGATATTATTGTGCAATAATGGATTTTGATCGGTTGTATTTCCTTCTTGGGTCGCTCATTTACTTTGAGATTCTTGCGAACACATTTTCGTGTGTACATATTTAGTTTCTCGTTTCTCTTACTCCTCGGAAATTGTCTAACACATGAGGACAAGAGAATTTTTTATCACGTATACATAAATGATATTAGTGTGCAATAATGGATTTCCATGCCCAAACCATTATAAATAGGCTTTGGGGCAAGGGAATTTTGCACCACTTCAGTGCCTTTAATTTCATTTGTCTTGAGTTTTCCTCCCTACCTGTTTTGCGCAATGTCTGGCGAAGGAGTCCCACCTTCGGACAAGAGCATGCTCCTCAAGGCGACGAGTGACATGCAGACGCAAACCCGCAAGTTGGATGTGAAGAGAAATCTTGTGGGTGAGGCTTCTACCGAAGGACTGAGTAAGAAGAGGGTTGTGTATAAGCACAGACCTAGTGATCATGAGACTCGGCTAGTTTCTTCAGGTTTCCTTGCGGGCCCTTCTTAGAAGAGGGTTGCAGGTCAAGTGAGAGACCATCCAGATGACTCATGCGAGACGTTCATGTGGGTTGGGTGTTTCACCTGCGGCTTTGGGGGTAGTGATCCCCTAGAGAAGTGCTGAGGTGGTGGTAGCCAAGGTTGAGATGTGGCTTCACCAAACTAGGAGAGGCTTCTCCTTGGAAGGTGGAGGACCAGAAAAGCGGGTGAAGATCTCTTTTCTTATTTCACGTTCGAGTCGACCTACTTTTAACTAGTACATCATCGATATACACCTCAATGTTTCTTTGCAAATATTACATTCATAAGAAATTGGTAAGTTTCCCCGATATTTTTTTAGCTCGAAGGCATTACATTGTAACACAAAACACCCTCACAAGTGATAAAAGCAATTTACTTTGCGTCGCCTGAGTGCATCTTGATCTGGTTTTATCCAAAGAATGCATCAAAGAAGCTTAGGACTTAGTGGTTAGCAACTGAATCTACTAGGGTGTCGATCTTTGGCAGGGGGTAAGAGTCTTTCGGACAAGGGGAGTTCAGGTTAGTGAAATCTATGCACATAATGCACTTTCTGTTGGTTTTTTGGACAATCCCCACGTTGGAGACCCAAAGGTATTGAACTTTCCGAATGTACTTGGTCTTTTCCAATTTTTGAACCTCTTCTCAGAGAGGTCCTATTAGTGTTATAGCTGGGCTGTTAATCTTCAGCTTCATGGGTCGAGCCGACGGATCAACATTAAGCCTGTGGGACGCAACATCAATCAACGCTCCTAGAAGTGCCTCGATCTTTCCTGGGTTGGCTTTTATACCTTTATGGGTCAGCAGGTAACCCAAGAATTTATCGATCGTGGACCCGAAGGTGAATTTTAGGGGGTTTAATTTTATGTTAAATTTTTTAAGTATTTGAAAGGTTTCTTTTAAGTCTTTGACGTGCTATTCCGCCAACCTACTCTTATCGAGTACATCATTGACGTATACCTCAATTTTTCTTCTTTTTTGATTTGCAAATATTACATCCATGAGGCGTTGGTAAGTTGTTCCGATATTTTTTAGCCCGATGGCATTGCATTGTAACAAAAAGCACCCTCACAAGTGATAAAGTCGATATTCTTTGCTTTGTTTGGGTGCATCTTGATCTGGTGCTATCCAAAGAATGCATGAAGGAAGCTTAGGACTAAGTGTTGAATATCTGAATCCACTAGGGCATCGATCTTCGGTAGGGTTTAAGAGTCCTTTGGACAAGGGGACTTTAGGTTGGTGAAATATGCACACATACTCCGCTTTCTGTTGGCTTCTTATACCATCACCACTTTGGAGACTCAAGTGAGGTATTGCACTTTCCGAATGTGCTTGGCCTTTTCCAGCTTTCACACCTCTTCTTGGAGAGGTCATGCTAGTGTCATGGCTGAGCACCTGATCTTCAGCTTCATGGGTCGAGCCGACGGATCAACATTCAGCCTGTGGGCACAGCATCGATCAACACTCCTAGCATTTTGGTGGGCGTCCATGCAAAACGTCTTGATTATTCTGAAGAGTTTGGACTAGCAACTCCCTGTGAATTCCATCAAAAGCCTCACTGATTAGAATTATCTACCTGGATCTCCCTTGACCGTCGTGACTTCGCGAGTGGCTTAGATGGTCTCAAGGCGACCCTTCCTCGCATTCTGGATATCCAGGGGGTCATGTTCCACGTTGCTTATGACTCTTAAGTTGCAGACCTGAGACTACTTCAGGCCGCCCCTGACTATGATGAGTTCACTGTCTCCAGTAAACTTCACAGCGACTTGGTAAGTGGAGACTACTTCTCTAAATTCATTCAACGGCGGACGGCCAAAGATGACGTTGTAGGTTGGGGGTGAATCCCCCTTGAGAAAATCTTCAATAAGGGTGAATTTTTTCTCGTTCTCCCTTCAACTTATCGGGAGCTCGATCATTCCCAGTTCCTCCTTCCTCTCGCTAGAGAATCCATACAGTGGACCAGCTGGTGATGTCATTCAATCGGCGGTGAGGCTTAACTTATCAAACTCATGTTTAACCAGTACATTCATAGAGCTACATGTGTCAATTAAAATGCTCTCTAATTGATAATTGTTTATTATAAATGTTATTACAATAGCATCATTATATAGTTTTCCTTTTTGGGGAAGATCCTCATCAGTAAAAAAAGATAGGTGGATGGTTCTTGGGCTTCGAAGCGAAGGTAGTGTCGCAGAGCTCCCCTGTTTGTTGCCTTTTCCGGCTTGCCTTCCTGGGTGGCTCGCTTCCTCCGAAGATTGAAGGCACGTACCCTGCAATGTGAACGGTGTTAGTGAGAATGGGGTTTTCGGTAGTTCTTCCTATGGGAGCCTTGCCCTACCACTGAGCCACAACTCTAAAGGCGACGAATTCTCTTAACTTTCCTTCCTTGACCATTTATTTGATCAGGCTTCATAGATGTCTGCATTTCTCCATGTCATGCCAAGGGTCTCTGTGATACTTGTAGTACTTTCTGCTGGCATCGCCTTCCTGAAGAAGTCTTTAACTTAGATGGCATCTATTATCTCTGTCATGGATAATCAAAGCAGTGTCTCATGGGGGACTTCATGGTTATGTCGAGGTTGCTTCTGGTGGTACGAAGATTGATGCTTATAGGGTTTAGTAGGAACCTCTTGTCTTCTCGGCGTTGGATGGAGTAGTTATCGGGCGACCCTCATAGTGGGGGATGTTTAATGATAGTGTGCTTTGTATGGGTTGTCCTTCGATATCCTGTGTAGGTCTTTCCTGATGTCTTTGCTTGGCGGGCTCAAGAGCGTTCGTGTAGGCGAAGATGTATCTGTTGCTCATCTCCAGCAGCTCGACCAAGCTCAAACTGAACCTCTCCGACTTACTCCTTGTGTCAGCATGGTCTGAGCCATGTTAGGCTTCAGGCCCTTGACATTTAGCATCTCGCTCTTGAAACACGCGATAAACGATCATAGGCTCTCGTTTTCCCCCTGTTTCAGTTGCCACAGGGATCGAGCGTTCTTCTTGGGCCTCAGGAAACTGGCGAACTGGGATAGGAAAAGCTTCCTCAACTCCCCCTGCGGGCAATCCGTCGAACCACCTTAGGGTGATCGATCTTAGTGTCATGAAGAACAACTTGCATTTGAGAGCATCCAAAATCCTCAAAAGGTAGATAGTCAGCTCGAACGACACGAGGTGGTTGTTACAATCTCATCGTCCTTTGTACATTTCCAGGACCAACATTTTGAACTTCTCCAGGGGTTCAACTCCGGAGAGCTGCAGGGAAAAAAACAATCTCTGGTTGTTTCAGTGCCTCAATTTGCATCGGTCGATTCCTTTCTTCCATAGGGTCAGATCCATCTTTGTGCTGGTACAGTCCTTCTTCAGGCTTTTTCTGTGGGTGGATTCCCCTCTTTCTATTATTTGTCGGCGGTTCTTCTTGAGGGGTGTTATGTGTTCCTTACCTTGCTGGCTCTCTTACTGGAACTGGAGGGGCTGCTAGAGCAGCGATCGCCCTAAGGACCTCATCGAACTGTCCTGAAATCTAGTTGGTGCTCTGGGTTCTTAAGTTTGGCAACCTTTGTTGAACAAATTCTTCCATGAACTCTCAAGTACATGCTACTACTTCCCTTTCGATCCTCTGGCTAAAATCGTCTTATTATTGAAGGCATGTTCCACACTCACCGCATCTTAAAGGATGTTGAATCATAGATCGTCTGGGAAATATGCCCAATGAATGGGACGTTCTATGAGGAGGCAATTAAGAGAGAGAGAGAGAGAGAGAGGGTGAAGGAGCGATAGTAGACTAGCAAAAGGGTATCCTTTATTCATAATATGTACCCTTATTTATAGGCCTAGGTCTCAATATTTTAAAAGTAAATTGCCTCCTAATTGTTAACGTTTCAGGGGGGTGTTTTGGTAATTTACATGGGTATTTGTATATAATAAGGCCCGACACCTATTCGACTGATAAGGGCTGTTTGAAGGAGCCCTTGATTATCGTCCTAAGGGACTTGCTTTTGCCATCTTCTGTCTATCGTTCAACTAAGGTGTTTTCTCTATCGCTGCTCATCTGAAACGATCGTCTATTGCTACATCCGATCGGTTGTACTTTCTTTTTAGGTCGCCCATCTTCTTTGAGATTCGTGTATACACATTTCATGTGTACATAAATAGATACCTACATTGGAATCGAGTGATATGTATATATGTATTAAATCTTCCAAATTTTTTTCCAGCTAAAACTTTTCCCGTAAATCTTGCTAAAATGACATTCATTAACAATTATCAACATTCTTCAGTTTATATCTCAGATGATTTATGCATTTACTGCAACTAACATTACTTTTAATTTTAGATAAAGCTAGAACACCCTGAAGAGTACCTAACTGGCATAAGTGGCTACTCTAGAAAGCTGCAACAAGGAATGTCTGAAGTCATCTCCTCACTAACATTTAAGAGCAACCTCCGCACCTATGGACCATATGGTACCGAACAAGGATATGGTACCGAACAAGGAGTACCGAACAAGGAAAATTCTTCAGTTTCAATAGTGTTGATTCTGTAGTAATTGGATTCCATGGTACTTCTGATAACTACCTGAAGTCCATTGGCTTGTACTTAAAGCCCCTTCAATCTACAAAGCCATTACTATCCGCAGATCATTCCATGCTCGTTTCATCTTCAAGCGGTGATTCATATGACAAGAAGGTAACACTCGTCTTATTTTCCTAATCAAATGTGGCTTTTTTTACTTGATATCTTATTTTCCTAATCAAATGTGGCTTTTTTTACTTGTTTGCAGATACTTTTATATATAATTATTTAATGTAGTGTTATAACAAAATGATAATAAAATGAAAAATTATTTGAGAAATAATAAGAAATCACATAATATAAAAAGTACAAGAAATTTATATATTGATGATATATTGGACAGAGTAAAATGATTAAGTGATGCAATTGTGGGGGATAAAGCTCATATGTTAAATTAGCACTTAACCCTCACATCTTTATATTCTTTTCTTTGATACCGGATTACTTGTAACCCGTGTCAAGCTTCGAGGAGGCTTGAGTGGTGTTGAAATGTTCACTTGTGGCCATGCAACATATTTTTGTGCTTTCTGGGAAATTGGTAGCATTGAAAGTACTTATTAAGGGACCCCTCTACATTTACTAATGTTGTAGTTGGGAAAATTGAAGCTGATTTATCATTTCCACCAGCCTTACAGTACTTGGGTGTGATTCCAAAGCCATCTGAACTTGTTTTTCTAATGTGACGGTTTAAAAGGTTGCTATTCTACAGGTTGAACTGCATACGATCTAAATACATAAGGATTGAGTGGTATGAGCTGCGGCCTAGGATTAGCTATGGTATCTATTTTGTTAATGAAGTACATTAAGAAATGAATTCTGATCTCATATATTTCGAATGTTGAGAAAATTTACATACACATCACTTACTTCCTAGGCACTAAATTTCTGGGCATTTACATATAAAACATCTGATTCCTTTATATATACATTTCTAAAACGTGAATTTCAGCTTTCTTCCTCTAAATCTCTATGAATTCGGTGGTGTATATGTAAATACCTTCAATGAAATTATGCAAGTCCTCATAGTGATGTTAAAGTTGAAAGTTATTGTTATGCAAAATCTGAAATTATATGGGTTGGTTTTATGCAATTTTGAAATAAATATGGAATATCAAAGTGGCCTATAAATTCGAGATGTGGGGTAAGGGTGGTGATGCAAAAAAATCACTCTCAACTCTTCTTTATAGCTGAAATCTATATCAACAATCAATTATAGATGCCTGAGTTGCTTGTAATTCATTCCCTACTCTTAAGAAATTTGTGAACGAACAACAGATACTGCACTTGTAAAACAACAGATACAACACTTGTAAAACAACATACACTACACACCAGCTACCACATATCAGATACTACATACAGATACTACACTTCTAAAAAATTCAAATACTAAGTATTGGTTCACTCATTAATTAAAGTGGTAGGGATTAGAACTGCCCAATTCTAGGATGATTAGCTGGTGACTTTTAATTGATATTGATATGTACACTTTGACGCTTTGATTGCCTGTGAGATTAGAGAATAGAAAGTCTACAGTTGAGTCTATCCCCAAATTGAAGTCTTATACCCCATTTTGATTTACCATATACTAATCACTTAACTTTTATAAAAAAAATATGCATGCTCAAATATTCCATATGTAAATTGCAAATGTTTGTCTAACCTCTTTTCTTTATATATAACTTTGCATTATGCAATTGTAATTTGTTTTGAAGCATCAACATAATCAGCCAGATACTCTTTAATATTTTTCTTTCTTTAGTGTATTATATTGCATAGTATTTTCTTTCTTATTGTACTCTATTGCGCAGTTTATTTCTTGATGTACTATACTTTACTACATAGCTATTTCTTTCTTTACTGCATTGTGCTATATACATTCATCTGTACTCATATTTTAGTTACTACACTTCTAACATGTTTATACATAGCACCTTAGGATAGTAAGTGTAGAATGCTTGCTTAGGATTAGACTATATAACATATAACCAAAATACGTTCTTTCATTTCAACATTTTTTAAAATTTCATTATAAAACATTTTCAAAACCACAAATAATGTTTTTCAAACTTCAATAAACTAATAATAAGATCCATTCTTTCTTCTCTCTCCCCTCTTCTGGGAACAAGACGACGACGTAGTGAAGTGACAATTCATCTCTAAGCACGGTTGAGACGACGACAGGCAGTAGAAGGAGGAGCCTTAACTGAACTTTCTTAGACTTAATAATATACACCCATATGACGTGGAGGTCGTTCGTCTCGTACAATGCAAATCCTCACACTATCTTTTAGGACTTCTTATAATTGTAGTCGTACTATATAAGTCCTAAGCTCTATTTACGATTCCTAGGTCGTCCTTTGGTATGACATAAATTCTCCTATTTTCTCAGGTTATTTGCATATGACTTGCAGATATAAGTCTAGAAATATCTAAATAATTTGCAGTATTAAACATCAAATAAGTTCTCTTTCAAAGATGTAAAGCCAAACAATAGATTAGTTTGAGATGTCACTAAAGTTTCTTCAGTATCTTCGATATTTACTATTTTTTCACTTCTTTGTATTCCGAAATAATTGTTACACATTGAATTTTTCCCATTTAATTTTTCCTAAAAGTAATCGTGGAAATCTAAACGTTGAAATCTTGAAGACGACCCCCGATCTTAATCGAAAGTTTTCTTAATTGACTTCCGTAATCTAAGATGCAATTAACTATAGGCGCTTGCCTCTATAGGGAATTAAGAACTTAGATTAATCTAAACCTCATCTAATCTTTGTATTAGAAAGGAGAATTTATCGGCTACAAATTAAACATACCAAAATAGATTCATAACTTTTAAGTTTAAATAGTTAAGTTTACCAATAAGTTATATGTTCGTCGTTTGAGATATATCATTTATGGTATCGTGCTCAACTATTTAAACAATTAGATATATGAGATCTATCTGGTCTCTTTGTTTTCCAAATAAAGAATACCATTTTCAAAAAATGAAAATTACATTACATATTAAATTTGAATTTAAAATTTTATTTTGAACCAAAATAAATATTAGTCAACTTGTTGCAATCGAAGACCCTAACAGAGTTGTTGGAGCTGACCAATAAGCACATTTCGACTAAGGAGTATAACCCCAACCGCGCCTCCTCAAGAGTAGAATCCTCTGTTTGTCGCCTGCAAAAAAGGGTTGCCTAAGGTAAAAGGTGGAGACTGAAACTTGATTCACAACCTTCTGCCAATTCACCATACAAAGATGCTTGGTCACCCCCGACATAACACAATGCTGAAAGAGTCAGGCTCAGTGTCCTGACGAGGGGAAGGCTTAGTACGGCAAGCGCCTGTTGCCTAATTATTAATCATCCAAAACAACAACTTTGAGAGTGTCAATGGTTGAGATAGTAGAGATCATAGAAAATAAATGTTATTTTAAGAGAGTGGAACCAAGGAAGACCAGAGCTTATCTCCAAGATCTGAAGAAGGTATTATGCCTACCACCTACACCATCGATGTGATACGAAGGAATGTCTACACCTCTGAGGTCTGATCGAAGATCTGATCAAGGCTGAAAAATTAAAGAGATTTATGGCAGCAAAAGTAACAACCCAACGATAGGGGAAAACCCAAGTTAAGGAGATATCAAAAAAGCTAGTCTTAGTCCATGAAATTGTTATTGCTGGTCCCAAGCATCTTACGGGGAGATGGAGAATCATCACACCGAGCCAATATGAAGAATCTTTGATCATGAGAATTATACAGAGCCACATGTACGACTAAATGATGCTCACATCCTCTCATAGCATTCACCAACGAAGACTCATCCCAAAGAGTAACCCCTACAACGACGTTATTGTTGTCACTGAACCAATCAACAATTACTAGATTGATAACACTCTCATCGACGCTCACAACGTCATGAACATCTTGTTTAAGTCAGTGATTGGCAAAATGGGCTTCGTCAATGAATGAATGGCAGCTACGACTGACCAATTCTATGTATTTCTTGGTGAGAGGAAGGAAGCATTGGGAACTATCACTCCATCGGTTACTTGGGCAAAAAAAGACAAACTATTTATCAATACGGTGGTTTTCATAGAGATCGAGACTCTACTTATAACACTATCTTCGATCATCCCCTACTTAATTATTTCAAGGCCATCACTTCTACCTATCATGTAGTTGTGAAGCTTCAGGTCGACAATGAGGTCATCATTGTCCACAGTGATATCAAGTAATCTCGCACTTGTCACCTCCAAACAGTCAGAAGCACCCAACATAACACCTCTAGAGCTCGATAAAATGGGAGAAAGAAATCTCAAGATCAACGAAACCACCCATCAGATCCCTGCGATCGAAGACAACACTAATAATTTTTTTCTACTTAGTGAAGCTTTTGATACATGACACAATGATGTGTTGATCGATACTCTCCGGAGCCATCGAAACTTTTTTGGTTGTTCTGACATCGAGATGCTTGAGATATTTATCGACGTTGTCTCCTACTTCATGAATGTCAACTCGGTGGTCTGATCGATGAAGCATAAGATGAGGACGTCTACCATCACACTTGTCGGGCTGATTCAGGATGCAGTTTAAGCACTGTTGCAATTTAGTTACATCCGAGAGGTGCAGTACTCAATGTGGGCATCAAATGACATCATGATACAAAAATCAAATAACAAGTATAGAATTTGTGTCAATTTCAATAATTTGAATATCACTTATCTGACAACTATCCTTGCTACATATTAATGAGCTCATAGACGCGACTGTGGCAATTCAATGATGAGCTTCCTAAATGCTTTCTTTCGCTATCCCCAAATCAAGATGCATCTTACTAACGTTGAGAATACTACACTCATCACAAAAGGAGGAGTGTATTGTTATAAATATAATTCCTTTCTAGCTGAAATATATTTGTTACTAACGCATGATTGATGTAATTTTTGTCAAACAAAAAGGGGAAAATATTGTAGAATTTTATATATAATTCCTTTCAAGTATAGTCTATAGAGCCCACGGCTCTAAAGATGCAATTAAATAGGAGGGATTGCCCCTGTAGGGAACAAGACCTAGAATTAAAATAAACATTATCTTACACTTGTAAGATAAGGGAAAAACCATTAGTTCTGTCGACTGACGAAGGTTTTCATCATCCAGGTAATTAAGCCCATTTTAAAGGTAATATATTTTTCCTTCAAGAAGATATATTATTCTTCAAGATGCCGTGTATGATTACCTAGATAAGAGTCTTCGAAAAATTCTATGGTGTTTGGTGACACAAAAACCCCCACCTGTCTTCATTATAACTATTTGGACTTTCATGTCTGGTTCTCCTTTTGGGTAGTAGAAAGCAACTCCAACTGTCTGGGCACTTTTGCATTGGCCACCTTCACTCTCTCTTCAACCACCATTAATTTTTGCTTGATCTTGAGACGTTATTGACATTCTTGGATAAGGATGGTCGATTGAAGATGAGAAGCTTCCCAGGCCATTAAATGATACTTATTGGTCGTTTAACAAAGGACTGATAAGGTTTGTTCCAAAATGGCCTCTTCGTAGATGGAAGACCGGATAGCATTAACTATTGTCAGAGGGTAGCGAGATGCCACCAGAAAATCAGAATACCAATTCTTATAAAGATCGATCAATGCAAACCTACCGTCTGAGCTCGTGCTCAACTTCAACTCTGCGTTTTGCAATAGAATCAACCTGAATGAGGATCCCTTGTGCTTCTTTCGAGACGAGTCGCTTGAATCGATCGCAAGTAAATTTCCCTCACAACGATACTCCCCTTGTGGCTAATTGGCTTGGGCTATTGGAGAGATCCAATGAGACCAACCAAATAAGACAAATTGCCTTCATCCCTAGCGGGCAGATCGATAAATGTCGGCCAAGGGGTGGTAGATCTTGTTTCCCGTCTTTCTGTTGAAGCCTCCTTACAATGGCTCGTCTCTGTATGATTAGTTGTTCTCTCATCTTCTTGTTGTTGCGTGCCCGATGGGCCCGCAATCAAACAGAAAGTTTAGTGGGAGGTGAAAATGTTGACTTCTTGATGAGGATTAGCTCATTTGTGACAATTCTTTGAGCAACAACAGATGAATCCAAAATAGAATAAACAAGTTACACACTTTTAAGTCTTCTCTAGCACGAACAACCCTAGCTTTAGATCGACCTGTAACTCTATCAGTTTTAGGGTGAGAAATCATAGCTCAGTTAATGGAACGTGCCTCCCCCACCCCCCCCTCCCCGAGCAACAATTGTTGCCACCCTCAGCCTCAATATCAGAGGCTTTCCAATCATCTTTGGTCATCTTATCAAAAGTTTCTAGATCAAACATTTGATTGATAGTAGCCAAATCAAGCAGTGTGATAGTTGCTAGAGAAATATATTGGTGGAACGATAGCTTACGCCCCTCGAAAATACTAGCTTGCACCAACACTCTCTTCAAAATATTTTTTATTCTTTTTTTCTGTAGCTTCACTAGAAGATTTTTTGGATGTATATCACCCCCAAAGGGAAGAATTTAGGCAGAAATGGGGCTTCCAATCCTTCACCTTATTCTTTAGCCCCAACAACTATAATTTGTCGATCGAAGAAAACTGTACGAATCCACCCGGAATGAGAATAAATAGTTGAATAGTTCAACATAGCACAAAATTTTTTTATTGATGGCAGAAGTCGACAAAGGTCATGATGGCTGTTATGGAGTTGGGCATAATCTAGGCGGGGATGACACCATAGTGTGCAAAGATGGCGTGTAACTCTTGAAAAAGGGCAAACAATGGTCGAAATAAAAAGGATCTTCATAGAAGAGAAGGTGGGATCAAAGATTGATGGTTGGATCAAAGACGCAAATCTTCTGCAGTCGAGTAACCTCTCCTTGAGTCATCCATGATTTGCGTTTAGCACGACTTACCCAAAGGCTTTCGGAGAATATCACAGAGTGAGCATGGATAGAGGATCGAGTGAAAATAAGAAGGGTAAAAGGGTAAAGTAAGTGTAACGTTACAAAACACACTATCTTTATAAAACTAAACAGTCGTGTA